TGGATACAGGGTCTCACTACACAGTTCAGACTCATAATGATCCTATTGTCTCACTCTCCCCAGCACTGGGATTATACACATGTGCCGCCATGCCCAGTTTCGGGGCTGGCACAGCATGCGATACTGGGGATTGAACTTAGGTTCTTGCACTTACCAGGCAGGTGTTAGACCACTGAGCTATCTCCCCAGATCCCCTTTTGTGCTCTTGCTGCTTTAATGTTTTCCACTGTTGCCATGAACTGTTGCTCTGCCATGCGCCACTCTGACTTGGAACCAGCCGAGTATGGATTGAAATCTCCACCAACTGTGAGCTAAATAAAGCTTTCCTTCCTTAATTTTGCATTAGGGTATTTTGTGTCCACAATGAGAGAAAAGTAACCAAGATATTAGATTCCTGTCACATGGAGCATTGTTTCCCATCCTTTGACTTTCAGTCTGTCAGTTTCCTTTTGAGTCAAATGTGTTTCTCGTATACAGCATATTGTTGGATTTTGTTTCTTGATCCACTCTGTCAGTCTGCTTCTTTTGGTTGGTGAATTGAGGCCTTTACATTGATGGTTATAAGTGGTATGTTTTGTTTATCTTTATCATGTTATTTTTCTGGTGTTGGTTCCCTACTTGTTCCCTCTGTTTAGTTGCTTGCCCTCCTTGGTGGTTTCTTTTTGTTTTTGTTCTTGGAATTGTGGTCATTTTACCTTTGTCTAGAATATCTTTCAGTACTATTTGTAGTGTTGGTTTGGTGGTCATGAATTTTTTCAGTTGTTGTCATGGAAGTATCTTATTTCTCCATTAATTTTGGACTTTAGCTTTGTAGGGCACATCAATCTTCGTTGGAAGTTGTTTTCTTTTAGAATTTGAAATACTTCACTCCAAGCTCTTCTCCACTTAATGGTTTTGTGTTATGAAGTCCACTGTGAATCTGATATGCTTTCCTTTATAGGTGACGTTTCTTTTCTCTAGCAGCTTTTGGTATGTTCTTCTTGTGCTGAAAATTTAGGGTGTTGATTATTATGTATCTGGGTGTCGATTTATTTTAATTATGGATTATTGAAGTTCTATATGCCTTACTTGTCTGTATGTCAGATTCTTTTCCCATGCTTTGGAATATTTCTGTTATTTCTGTAAATGGTCTTTTTATTTGACTCATGTTGTCTCCCTCTTGTTGACATGTATAAGCCTTATATTATTTTTCTTTGCCTCATCTTGCAGCTGTTCAATTGTTATTTCCTGGTTCCTTTGATTTTTAAGACTTTTCGAGTTTGTTAGCTGCAAAGCTGACTTCAATGTCTGAATGTCTGTCTTCAGTTTCATTTAAACAGTTCTGCCAGCTTTCAATGGA